AGGCTCAGTGAGTTGAAAGGACATGTCCTCCAGGTTCACATAGTAAGAGTTACAGTGGCTGCTTCCCAGTCACTTTGGGCTCTTTGTGCCAACAGACCAGTAGGCCTAGACAGAGGCTGCCACGCTGACCCTGACCATCAGCAGGACGTAACTCTCCTACCACATAATGGGGCAAAACGAAATACAATTACTTATGAAATACTTTTCAACCATAAGTGATTTCTTGAAAATACTTTAAAATATGTTCAGCGTGTCTTGTCAGCTGTAGTTATAGAATCAAGTTGTAGTACAGTAAGGTAACTGAATCCAGTCCTTAATTGTGTGACGTACACTGAAGCAGATGCTACTCTAAAGATGCTCTAAAAGTCAGAAGACCTGCCAGTGAGTTGGGAAACAGTACCTCGGGGTTGTGTGTCTCTGTTTTCTGGGGAAAGGCTGCTTAAATGTTTGGTTTTTAAAGTAGCTTATTTCTTCAAAGGAATGGCATTCCTTATCATCCGCAGAGAACATTTACACGGCGTAATAGGACCTTTATAGAAATCAGCCCCAATACAGCAAGTTTCAGAATGCAATTCATTAGCAGCATTTTGTCTTTTAAAATTTAGACTCCCTCCCTATTTTGGCATATCTGGAAGATGTAAGCATAAAACACAGCTTAACGATGATAAAATGCTGAGATAAGAGGAGATGACCACAAACCGGGGAAAGTCCAAGCAAGGCTCCAGGCGAAGGCAGGACATCATTACACATGGAGCTAATGGCAACAAAACAGCAACACGACGTTCCAAGAACAAATTATCACCTCTGATGCATGTTTCCAGAAACACTGAGGCTAAAAGTCTGTGCTAGCACTCTTCCTTTGAATGTGACGGCCTGACAGTCCCGTCTCCTGTGGTCCTGTTGTCAATCTGACAGCCGGCTTCGGCCCTGACCTCTAAGCCAGCCACTCTCGTACCAACATCCGCATGTCTGTTTCTTCCCTAATCAATCCAAGCACCTACCTCCGGTGCAGGGAGAGCTACCTGTGGGACCCTGAGCTGCATCAGCGTTGGCCGCCAGGAGTCTAAAAAGCAATGAAGGCTGTTATAGTTAGGAGTCTCCCTTTAAGTTTCCTTGAAAACTATTTTTTATAACTTAAGTATAATTAGGATGTAATTACTGTATTTGCCTTTTTCCAGAATTACCTTTAGTCAATAACTCCAGAACTGAGTGGTTTTTCATCATCTTCCACTCAAAACCCTAAATGACAAAAAGAGCACTACTCTTCAAAAAAAAAAAAAATTTAAATCCTTTCGTCAAAACAACAGGGAATGACTAGAACTAAAAGCACAGGCATAGTTAAGAAGGTTATGACAGGGGGCACTTCTGCATGTCCCACTCACCCCACGAGCCAATCAAATTAGTCGTAGGTTAAAATGCAGGTTTTCTGTCTGCAGCATTCAGGCCAATCCTTGGCACTGGAGAGTCAGATTTCCAGCCCTTACCGGCCTTTCCTGCTCTAATATAAAGTGTGATTGTGAAAGAGAATCTACTCCCATTTTTGTTTTGTCACAAGAGGACAGCAGGCAGTACAATCATTTCATTTTCTTTGCTTATAAATTTCAGCCCCAAATCAGCACTGAATCAGCACTCTCTGGCCAATCAAAATAAATGTGTGAACTTAAGTACAACGTGGAAAGAATAGTACAAAGAAAAAACACAAAAAATGATATAAACTCAAACTCCGTAAAGTCATCTAATCAATACATGTATGTCTACAAATAGTTTAGAAGAGAATGAAGCATGATAAAAATAGTCGAAATGGTCAATAAAAAGGATTTCTTTTTCTGTGTAGCTGTTTAAATGTGCAAAAAAATTACTTTTTAAAAAGAGGCCCAAACTACAGAATTTCATGAAGTATAGAAAGTACCTGAAAGCTTTGAACACAGGCCAAGAAAGTATATTTAGAACTGGGAGTCTGTTGATACTACGTTTTTATAAAGAATGAGAAGAGTCTCCTGATTCATTTGAAAATACAATACAACATAAAAGAGAAAACATGTTTTCGCAGTGCAGATGCCAGTCCTTTTCTACACCAACAATTTATTAGGAACTCTGAATGCTGGACTATCACACGGAAGGCCATTCCCGTCCCTAAATGGCTGTGGACTCTGTAACTTCTGTCTAGACGAGGGAGGCTGGGGAAATGTATCCCTGGAAGAGTGAAAACCCCATCTTCTCTGGCAGCTTCATCAAGATTCTTTTTTGGCACAAAAGTTGGAAGTTCTTGAAATGGTGAATATCCCAATATTTTGTTACACTTTGCGCTAGTGGTACAAAGTTCTCCTTCAGTTTACTAATACGTAGCTTTATGAAATGCAGGACTGCTTTGATAGCTTCATCAGCTTTTCTAAATTCCGACCAAATGTTCTCAAATGTAACGAAAGCTACTTTCTGACCCCAGTGCTCTTCCCGGACATGCTCTCAGTGTTCCATTCACCTAAATTAGCAAAATAATTACTGAAAGCAAGACTGACTTTCCATCACCCCACCCCAGGCCTGGCTGCACAGGCTACAGTCATTTCTGTCACATCAGTGAATAAGTAAATCCTGTGGATGGAGAGCCCTGGCTGAGTCCCGACCACATTCGCACCCCCATTCCCCGCTCTGGGGTGGCCATGTGGTCAGAGTGTATCCCCAGCTCCTGGTGGAACCAGGTCAAACAGGAGGCCACCTCCCCCCACCCCCACTTGCTACTAGACAGTAAGCCTGAAGCTATGAAGGTTCACCGAACGCAGAGAGCCTGCCCAGGAGTGAAGCCAAAACAAAGGGAAACGCTGTCGAAAATGTAGAAAAACTGAGTCCAGGAGACTTGACGCAGCTAAGAGTGAAGCTGGCACCACTGTGAATTTTTCTTTTCTCTCTCCTTTTTTTTGGTTGTATGAGCCAATGGGTGTGCAGCTCCACCCCCACCAATTTATTTGAGTCAATTTGAATGGATTTTATCCCTTGAATGAAAAGAGCCTGATCCCATATCAGCTAAGATGTTTTTGGCTGCAAGTAAAAGAACACCTGACTAAACGTTTATCTCACAGAATAGGCAGCTCTGAGATAGGCAGCTATCAATTCAATGAAACAAAAGTGCAGTCACGAATCTAGGCTTCCCGTCTGCCACCCTGGCAGTCCTCGGCATTCCAGCTTCTGTCTGTGAGCTGCAGTGGACGCCAGCTGGCTCCCAGGGCTCCGGGCACCACATCCTCATGCAGCAGCATCAAAGAAAGAAGAAATCACCCTTCCTGTCGGAGGAGAGTCTTCCCAAACCCACCCTGGGCAGCCTCGCCTCGGGCTCACTGCCAGACCTGGATCTCACACTGCCTTGCTGCCTCCGCACCTCTGGGCAAAGGAGAATGCAATTATTATGATGGCGAAGACCAACCTTAACTGGAGGCAAGACACCTGATCAAAATGAGGGTTCTCTTTTCAAGGAAGAAGGAAGAAAATGGCTTTTGGGTAGGCAACCAACAATGCACACTGAGTCCCGGTACAAGCACTGGTGGTCCCTGACCTGCAGTCACCCAAACATTCAAGAGACAGTGAAGAGCTTGACATTCCAAATCAAATAATAAGAACCAACCACTGCTTTAGTTTCCATGCACACAATACCTCAAACCGCACCAACTATATTTATCATTCTTGAGAAACTATGAAAACTGACTGCAGAATTCCTTGGAATGACTTTTAAAAAGCTTTACTGAATGCCCCGGAATAGGAGGTACTAGCTGTTATCTTCAACGTGCCCAACATCGGGAAAGGAATGTCAGTGAATGACCCTCCCATTCTCAGAGCTCTCAGGTGATTTGCTAGCTAAGGCCGTTAGAATCTGCCCAGATGTACAGCTGGAGAGCCTGCTAGACAGAGAACAGGAACTCTCTGGAGCAAAACTGATTTCCAACTCTTTCCTGAAGATCAATACGACCCAGTGGTGCTTCTCCCTTAAAATACGGTGTCCCTGGGGGTCCTGAGGCTTAAAGGAAATGAGGGTGTGGGAGCCCACAGGTCAGACCGGGCACAGAGCAGCACTGGGAAGTCCAGGAAAGGCTCGGCAGGGCTGAACCAGGGCAGCAGGAACCCAGCAGTGGCGCGGGGAGGAGTCTGAGCGTTCATTTCCAAAGCCAATCCAAACAACAGCTATGTTGTGAAAGAATTACTAAATACACTGAACAAGATCTACAAGGCAAATAAAACGAACTTAAAGCACCAGTGGTGATGTGAAACAATTAAATACCATCAGTAGGCAAGTGGAAACCAGTAACTACAATAGAATAATGTGATGAGAGCTTTAGCTGAACTTGGTTAAACCTTATTTTCTACGCCCTAAGCATCCCCGCCCACGTTTTCATCTTGATCTTAACACTCGCTGAAAATAAGGTCTCTGCTTCTTCCTCCACTAACCACTTCAATGAACTTGCTTGTGAGTTCACACCTGTTATTACACCAATTTATTCACTCTAAATAGCAGCTAATTATTTTAAGAGTTAATTGCCACAGGAAACAAAAGAGAGAAATGTGAGGTAGAATGAAATGCTCTTTGAAGACTTTAGATTTGACTCTGACATTAAAGTGAGCCATTTCTCTTTCCTAGACTGTAAAGTGCAGCCCCTCTTGGCTGTAAAATTCAGTGACACTATGAATTCGAGTGTCAGTTACTTGCCTTAGTTCAGCTGGGTGTCAACATAGCCTAGCAGCGGAGGTCAATGCACCTCAATGTGTTCCAGAAGTAGAACAGGCCTTCGAGCTGCACAGAGGGCCGTCCATGTGACCTTCATGAGGTCATGACCCCTCTCTGATCCAGTGTCCTCACCGGTAAAATGGGATCAGAACACCCTGGTGGCAGGTTGCAGTGAGGATTAAATGAGATCAGGTATGTAACACATCTCTTATGGTTCCTGGCAGTAGGAGGTACTAAAAAAGTGATAGCTATTGCTACTGCTTTTATTATAAAATCAGTAATAAGCACTTACCTAGAGAAACAACAGCAACACTCTCTGGCAAGAAATGTAATCTGTATCGAATCAGTAAGTGCACCAATATGATGCAGATAGCTGTGGGGAAAATAAGACATTGTTAAAACAGCACATTTGTAAGTCATAAACACCAAGTTCACAGCAATAGTTACTAAAGGGCTGCGCCAGGAAAACAGAGAGCAGTCAGTGACACCGTAAACGTCAGTCCTATTTTCAGTCTCTTATTTCTGAAACTGGACATAGACTCACGGTGTTCATAACATTTCTGCATACTCTGTACGTCTGACACAATCGGGCATCTACTTTTTTCCTAAGCTGCTAAACCTTACACAATGACTTAAAATGATCTGAACTTCCCTGATTCTGAGAAGTGGTCCTCAACTTTTTTGAAGTTGCCATCAACTGCAAAAGTCTAAGTGGCGAGGAGGAAGTCACTGAAATCGCTTTGATGTACCTGTAACTACAACAGAATGTGCTGACACAGAGTGTTTTACCACCAGGTGACTGGTTCTCTCTTAACACAGAAGAAAGTGGGATGTTTTATAAACACAACAAGGTAAATACTTTGGTTCTAAGAACGTCAGAGAACTAAAGATGGGGCACCTGCTCTGCAGCCGGGTGTGGGGGCTCCCCCTGGTTGAGGGCTCCCCACCAGTCAGGCATGCACTGAACACTTCCAACCAGGCCTCATATGACCCCCGACACCCCTCTCAACTAGCTGTTGTCACCATTATCCCCTTTGGTTCTAGACGGGAAACCTGAGCCTCAAAGGGCAATTTACTGGGAGGTGCCGCACAGTAGGGCCGGAGTCCAGTCCGGTGCCCTGAACCTTGGGCGCCCGACTCCCTGCTGGCTGCCTTCATTCCTCAGTCAGAGGAATAAGGAGAATGCCTGACTTTCCTCACAGAGGTGATGTCATGACAGAAAAGGAGGTAAAAGACTAGAAAACTATTTGAAAGGAGTAAGTACTTCTGGACCCTCCCCCAAAAGCAGCCTTTTACGTAAATAATTCCTCACTGTAAATTCATGGTCCAATGTCAACACACACGTCTCTTTTCATCAGGCAGCAGGTGGTCTGCTGTCTCCCCAGTCACAGTGCTACCTCCATGACACTTTGAAAGGCAATGTTTAAACCACCTGCCCGGCCGTTAACTGGCCCCTCTCAGAGCTGCACTGACAGGGTATCTTCGGTTCCACCAAAAAGCACCAGGTGCCCAGAGAAAGGAAACAGTTGTAAATACGGAGATTTTGTCCTCCTTTCATTCTGGGCTCTAAACTATCAATCTTTGGTGTTACTTTATCATAAACATTTTACCTAGTTAGGGAAATCCTACACTGAATACTAAGAGCAAGAAAAGAGTTCCAATGCCCGATCGTAACATGTGACCAAGGAGCACGCCTACCGTCTAAACAGGCAGGCATAGGATCCCGTAGGTAGACAGATAATACATTAGGAAGTTGAACCAGTTTCTGCTCTTCCTTTGCACCAAACTGGATGAAAAAACTACTTTAAAAAGATATTCTCATGAGTCAAACAACTATTTGCATCTTTCAGAGCAGCGGGGAAAACTATCAACAGAGAGCTAAATAAATATAAGGCTCAAGGAATGGCCTTCAGCCATTAAAAAGAATGAGGTCTGGAAAAACAACCCACAGAATGGGAGAAAATATTGGTAAATGAGATAGCTAGATACAGAAAGAACTCTTACAACTCAACGATAAGAGGAAAAACAACATAATATAAAAATGAGCAAAGGACCTGAATAGACATTTCTCCAAAGAAAGATGAATGACCGATAAGCACATGAAAAGATGCTCAACATCATTAGTCATTAGAAAAATGCAAATTAAGTCACGATGAGATACGACTTCACACCCACCAGGATGGCTATAATTAAACAAATCAGAGTGGATAATAACAAGTGTTGGCAAGGATGTAAAGCAATCGGAACACTTGGGCCCTGCTGGTGGGGCAAGTCTGGCAGTTCCTGAGAAAGTTACAGAGAGCAGCCATGTAACCCAGTAATTCCCCTCCTGAGTATACATCCAAGAGAAATAAACACTTATTGTCCACGCAAAAACGTGTACACGAATGTGCGCAGCAGCCCTGTCTACAGCAGTCAACGGGTGGAAGCAACACAGACGCGCATCAGCTGATGAATGGATAAAACACTGTGTGGTTACACCCCGACAACGGAATATTACTCAGCCGTACAAAGGAATACAATTCTACCACATGCTGAAACACGGGTGAGCGCTGCACACGTGATGCCAAGTGAAAGAGGCCAAATATAGATCATATGTTGTATGATTCCATTTGTATCAGATATTTTGAGTAGGCAAGTTCTTGGAGACCAAAAGCAGAATTGAGCTTCCCAGAGACTGGGGAGAGGGGCAAATGGGGAGTGAACGCTTTTAATGGGCACTGGGTTTCCTTCCTTTTGGGGCCATAAACATGTTCTGGAACTAAATAGTGGTGATGGCTGCACAGCACTGTGACTGTAGTAAATGCCACTGAATTGTACACTTTGAAGTGGTAAATTCTATGTTCTGTTTATTTTGACCACATACACATTCTTTAAAAAGAAAAAAATGATGAAGTCTGTAGAACACACTAACACAGAAAGATCCCCAAGTCATTCTGTGAGGAGGAAAAGCAAGTGCTAGGACCCCATTCACAGTAAAATAAGCAAGCGCCAAGCCCTATGTGCCTGCGTGTGTGTATGTGCTTATGAGCACACAAATGCATATACGCAAACTCAAGTCCAAGTTCCCAAGTGCGCTTCAGGACAGAAGAGCAAGCAGCAACGAAAACTTCCGTGTGGTACGGAGGGTATGCATCCGGCAAGTCAATGTGCTTCCAACTTCTCATGCCTGAAGCAATAATTACGTAAACTATATTAAAACACAGACGTTTTGATTTTAATAACTCCAGTCAATTGAATGGCCCATAAAATGTCTGTCAAATGGCGCTGACTGCTAACTCCAGTGAAAGTCAGTAACGGTGACTCGCCATTGTTTCTGGGGAGTCAAAGATCAGCAAGGGTTAAGTACAAGTGAACTGATTCAAAGCTCCTAAAACTACAAAATAAAAAAATCCCTTCTCAACAAAGAGGAACACGATGTAATCCTTTCATATCCTTACGGATACAAAAGTCACAGTGTCATTTGACTTAACTAACAGTAAACAAAAGCGGCAAATGTGCTCTAGGTCAGTTCCGGAAGTCTACCATGCACTATGGACTAATAATCTCCCTCAATTCACCGGGGTTCGTGTAGCTAGTGAGTTAGCAAGTTATCCATTAACAGGATTTTTTCCTTTTATCAGATTTACATCTAATCAGGAATATACAAGAAACATGTTATCTTTATAAGATATCAGAGGAAAAATGCCTTCAAATTTACTTAAAAAGAAGCATTCTAGGCTGCTAAAGCATGTTGATCTATGCGTAAAAAGCGGTGATACCAACCCACAAACTGCCAAGAATCTGATTCTGTGAAAACAGGGCCCACAGGACATCAGCACAACCCCAGTCTCTGGGCTCCTGACGTGTCTGAAGAGAAGACATCCCAAGAGTAACACACAGCCCTATTAAATGCAGGTCAGGCCTTCTGGTCCCAGACATGCATGAACACTGGGCAGGATTTTGCCTGGATGAAAAAGTACCTTATAAAAACCTATTTTGTGGTCCTTGGCACAAAATGACCTTCAATGCTACACACCCTGAAAATGACTTTAGAAGTCTGACTTATGCTTTTCACCGTCTTGTGAAAAAAGTGATTACAAAACAGAAGTTTCTTTCTTTTTTTTTCCAGGCCAGGCTTTTATATTCTCTAACATATCAAGCTGACGACAATGTAAATAGATTAATACTGCATGATTTTAGGAACTAAAGATTTCTTGACCAACAAAAGAACTGTTTTTCTTCTTTGTATTCAGCTACTATAACAAAAGAACAAGAAAACAAGAGCCCTTGATTGTTGAAGCAATCCCCTAAAAATAGAATTTAACTATATTTATAGGGTAAAAAATTACCTGGGCACATTAAATCTACACGGGACATTGTGCACTTGGGCACCTGCTGGTGGGAATGTAAAACGGCGCAGCCCCTGTGGAAGTCTGGTGGCTGGTGAGGAAGTTACACAGAGAGAATAACCAGTTAACCCAGCAATTCTACTCCCAGGCACCTACTGTATATCCGAGAGAAATAAAAAGGTGTGTTCACACAAAAGCGTGTACACGGATGTTCGCAGCAGAACAATTTATAACAGTCGAAAGGTAGAAACCACACAAATGTGCATCAGCTGATGAATGGATAACACAAGGTGGCATATCCTTATGATAGAATATTATTCCGCCAAACAAAGGAATACAATTCTAACACACGCTACAACATGGGTGAACCTCAAAGACATGATGCGAAGTGAAAAAAGCCAGACATAATAGGTTTTTGGTTTGGTTCTGTTTTGTTTCAATCTATGAGAGACGAGGTGACTTTACTATATTATTGACCATGAGAGTCTGAAAGTCAGCGTGAGAGAAGTGACATTTTTCCTCAAAAAAGTCTTACTAGACATCAGAGAAATGCACTCCCCCTTTAAATCCAGATGCATCTTTCCCTGTTCTAAAAAGATCTAATTGGAAATATGACTAACTATCATTAAAGGACAGCGGAGAAATGTAAAGCTGCCAACTTCACTTCACCAAGTGCAGTTGGGCTCAGGTAAAATTCTATGCCCTTTCTCCTGTACTCAGCTAATCCAGAGTTGGTTGTGCAGTTTCCAGGGAAGTTTCTGTGCTTGTTTAACACAATTCTCTGCTACAGTCTCTGGAAGGCATGGAAGTTATTACCTTTTATCTAAAATTCTTGACTGATGTCTGGTAACCTGGATATTAGTCTCTAGTCTCCCAAATACCAGGCCAATTGGTTAATGTCTCTGGGCCTAAATTTTCTCACTCGTTCAAGGAAGAGGGTGAACAAAATGAGATTTTGAGTTTGAGAGACTGAATCTGTTTGACTCCCCCGACCTCCTGTCGCCGCTACCACACACACGTACACACAGATTCTCATGAGCAGTTTGAAGTCCATTAAACTGGAAGATGTTCAAGGTTCTCTCTAGGTCAAAAATTTTTCAATTCTCTCTTCCAACAGACATCTAAGATACTGCACCAAGGGTTCTTCCGGATTGCTAAGCTCTGATTTTATGAAGAAAAAGAAGTACCCTGCTATAATGGTACGCACTGCTCAGTGTCCCTCGCTGTCTGAAATGAAAACCAAATGGAGGATTGGACAAAGTCAACAGTGATTTAGACGGGCTGACCATAGCCAGCACCCACTGACACTCAGGGAGGCAGACACGGTGCGGCTGCACTCACCTAGGACGAGGAGGCTGAAGAAAATCGTCATGCCACTTGACTGCTCCTCCTGCTGGGCCTGCTCCCCCGTCTGCACAGGTAGGATGGGCTTGGCCGGGGTCGGAAGCACCAGTTTCGTCGTGGCAACCAGGGTGGTGTGGAGGGTGACATTGAAACTTTCCTGAGTTGTGTTGAGGAACCTGTCGGCAGACATAAAAAAAGCAGAATTAGGTCAAGGAAAAAGGGCCCCAAAGCATCAACACACAAAGCCAGAAAGAGAACTTGACACAGAGCTTTACAGGCATCACAAGTCTTGCAATTAACAGGCAGGTCTTGGAGAACCTGATTGAGAAAATGCTGGCCTGCTGCCGCTGCAGGAGGGGACCAGTGCCCTCAGGTGCTTCTGAAAGCAGCCACTTAGAGAACAGGAACAAGGGGGAATCAGGGGCAGCTTAGAAAGGCTTGCTGCCTGTTCCTTGGCCTTTATGCAGGATTTACATGGAGGCAGTGGTCAGGGGGAGCTTAAAGGGTGGAGGGATTGAGCAAAAAGGATAAAGGACTCATGGACATGAACAACCATGTGGTGATTGCAGGGGGAAAGGGTATAAGGGGACTGAATGGTAATGGAAAAAAAACACAACTTTTTAATTAAAAAACAAATGAAGGCTAACTGGCGTCTCATCACTTCCAAGGTCCGACTTTGTAAGGTCAGACATTATTTACTTGGCGCCTTTGTTTCTCTAGTTTACATTCTTTTCCTTGAATTATCTCCACAAGTTGAAGAAGCCACCTGAATTTGCGATCATTGATCTGGTACTTCACAAAATCCTTCTCAGATTTCAAAAGGCTCAGTGTAACCTCCTCTGATACCCCTCTCCAGCCCACCACTTACATTCCTCACAGCTCTCTCCTCACCTGTTGGACTGTACACTAGTGCAATCCACGTAATAGTGATTGTATTGTGAGTTTTAACAGCTAATGTTTATTGAGGCCTGTTCCATTTCAGGGAAACATACAACCTTTCATTCAATAGGCATAATGTGCCTGAGGTGGATACTCTTACTTTCCCTTTTATACCCCCGAACAGTGACTCAGAGAGGTTGTGTAACTTGGCCAATGTCTCAGTCAGTCCGTGGTAGAACCGAGCTTTGAAAGCAAACTTGAGATCACTAGTTCATATCACTTCTTTTGCTCTGTGCTGCTGTGGCACAGTTTCGAGTCTGGGCCAGAGCAGATGCACAATGTTCAATAGGTGACTAAATGAAATGACCACCCAGCCAAGATGCATATCCGAAAAGTTGTCAGGTGAGGGAGCCAAATTTCAACCACGGGATTCCCTGTGAACTTTCACATATTCATTCCAGAAACATAGGCAGGGCGCCTGTAACATGAATAGACTGTGCGCAGCAGGTATGGAGACGGACGAAGAGTGGTCCTTCCACAGAAGTACCTGCAGGACCCGCACCCCCGCTACCCCCTTCTCATCTTGTATGGCCAGCCCCCGTGCTCTCTACACTCTAGTCACCCATGCCTGCCTTTCTGTCCCTCAAAGGCACTAATGCCTTTCTTGCACTTAATGCCTCTAGCACTTGCTGCATCCTCTCTCATCCCTCGTTCTGTTCATTAAGGTTTCAGCTGGCACTATCACTCCTTCCTGAGCAGACTTCCCCCACCCTAACACTATTGCATTTCCTTCAGAGCATCTGATATCATCTTGTCTATTTATGGTCTTCTTCTACTAGAAAGGAAGTTCCCAGAGAGCGGTTCCTGGTCTACCTCCTTCACTACCAGGTACCTAGGGCCTGAAATATAGTGGGCCGCCAACAGTTTATGAATGAATGAAACTAAGTGGACACAGATGCGAAAAATGATCGTTACAGTGGAGGAGACTGGCTAACTGGGGACAGGGTTGGGGGACTTCCTGGAGGAGGAGGAGGAGGAGGCGGAGCGCTCCGTTGTCAGATGATCGAAAGCTGGAAAAGGGAAATTTGGGTTGCGGTTGACGCTAGACAGCTTTCGAGGCCTGCGCTGGGCGGCCGATTGACAGCCCAAGGGTCTGACCTCCAGGAGGCTGCAAGGCCGGGCTGGGCCCAGGCCCGTCCCTCCCGCCCTCCTTGCAGGGGCCGGCATGGTCAGTCCTGGCCAACCAGCACAAGGAGCTCCACGTTCCGGGGGCCAGAAGGCGGCCTGAGGCGCTAGCTGTCACCCGCTGGGGCCCAGCCCCGCCGCCTCCGCCGCCCGGTTAAAACCCACTCACTCCTCTCCCGCCATCTTCGCCCCCGTCCTGCCGATCCTCCAAGACCACCGAGTTCCGAGTCGCAGGGCTAGCAGGGCCCGCTTTTTTTGCTTCCGGCTTCCGCTGAAGGCGCCAGCTGGCTGACGAGAGGGGGCGGGGCCTGGGCCACGCGAGGGCGGCCCTTCAGTCCCTTTGTCTCTATAGCCCGAGGGTGGGAGCATGCGTATGGGAGGATCTTTCCGGAGCACTTATAGGACTTGCGGAGCATTTGGGCCCACGAGGTTTCGGCTGCCCCCCACAGCCCCCCACAGAGCGGGGACATTTTGAGAGAAACTCCTGTGAGGTCACTGTGATTCACCCTAGCCGAATGGTGGGAAAGAAACATCGAGCATCACCTGGACAGAAGGACCCGAGGGTTTTACTTTCCCAGCCTGAGCCTCGGTGTTCCTCTCTGCTCTAAGGATGGCTAGCCACCTGGGCTTTCCAGAGCTGTGCAGTATCTACCTATAAACCTTTACCGAGTTCTGACTATGTGCCTAGCGTTCAACTAGGTGGTGTTACCTAGGGATGTGTCATTGATTAATATGGTGCCCATATGTACCTAGCAGCGGCCTGTGGGGTTGGGGGTACAGCAAGGAGTAAGGTGGGGTTGGAGGTGTAAGAGGAACCCCATTGGGAGAGCTGGGCCATATTGTAAGGCCTTTAGGCCTTTGCATTTGAGGCCACCTCTGCTGCTAACCTTTTCATGCCAGCCATCTTATCTCGTAACATCTGCAAAGCTGCCCAAATCTCTCTGTCCCTGCTGCGATTGTTCCCCTGGCTTTCCACACAGTGCCCACCCCCCCCGCCCCCGCGGTGAACTTTTAAAACTTGGGTATTCCTCTACTTAAAACCTCCACTGGCTTCCAATGTTGATCAGAGAAAAAAAACGTGGAGTGCTAACAGGACTCAACCCAGCCCCCTTTCCCCCTCTAAGTTGGACCCCTCTCTCCCTCCAGCACCCATAGCACTGCGGTCACAGTGGCTTTCTCAGGGTGCCTGAAACACACCGGGAGCACTGCCACCTCTGCCCTGGCTGATCCTCTTGTCTAGAATGCAATCATGCACTGCATAATGATGTTTCCATCAACCACGGAGGCTACGCCATCTAGGTTTGGGTAAGTGCACTCTGTGATGTTTGTACAAGGATGAAATCGCCTAATGATGCATTTCTCGGAATGTATCCCTGTCCATAAATGGCACGTTGTCCTTTGGCTCCCACCTTCCCCACTTGCAGGCTTTTAATTTAATCCTCATCCATTCCACCTTCCCCAACCACTCTGTTTAAAATCCAAGGCCCCTTGCCTTTCCTGAGTTATTTTTCTCCATAACACCAAACATACTATGTTTTACTTATACATTTGTTTATTGTCCTTCCACAAGCATGTAAACTTCCAGAATGCAGAGGGTTTTGTTTGTTTTGTTCTCTGTTTTATCTCCAGTGCCTAGGATAGTACACATACCTGACACATAGTAGGTACTCAATAATAAATGATCACTGAATGAATAAAGACATTAGTTAACACTAGATGTGTTAGGAAATAGGAAGTCTTCGAAAAGAAGAGTGCTACAACCCTACTTTTATTAGGATCCCTTTGACAATAGAGAGTTGGGGGACGGGGTGTGGGGACAAATATGGAAGCCTTTATACCTGCTGGGGGGTCTTGACAGTGATCTGGGTGAGAGCAGGTTATAGTTTGGATTCAGGTGATGCCATGGAGATGGTAGGAATGATTGGACTCTGAAGGCACGATTTGCTGATGGACTATGGCATGGGAACGAAAGAGAGAAGTCAAGGCTGACGTCAAGCTTTTGGTCCTGGGTGGAACAGAGATCTCTCTGGCTCCAACCCAGAGCTCACTGCCTCTCCAAGACTTTTTAGGACTATTGTCAAAGTGAATGTGCTCAGGATCAGCCAAAGTTTACTGAGTCCTTCCGTGGGTGTGGTGCCGGGCTATTGTTTCCTTAATTCCTCACATTTCTTTGCGACAGATATTATCATAACCCCTAAACTGAAGCCCAGAGAGGTCAACCTCTCTTGCCTGAAGTCATGCAGGTGGCAAAAGTCGAGGCTGTGATTCAGGCGAAGTCTGTGCTTTTAACCTGTACCCCCTGTTCCTCTCCACTGTCTTCATTTCTCTGGCTCTAATATGGGGCTAAACTGCCTGGTTTCCTCTGTTATCACAAACAGAGCCTGGTGAAAATGAAATGGCTTCTAGGGATCAGAGAAATGGCTTCTAGAGAGCTGGGTTCTCTCAGAACCACACTTACCAACTGAGGGCATTGAGGTTGCCACTTTTCTGTCGGGCCCAGAAAACCTCAGCTAGCTGCTGGGGTTGAGCCCTGATGGGCTGGAGTTAGTCAGAATGAGAGCAGGGCCCTGAGTCACCGATGGATGTCTCATTTTATCTGCATCGCCCCCACTGCCCTTGCCCCACAGATCCTGTTATCGGGTCCACATCCGGGCTTTGTGGCAATCATGGACCTGCTGCCAACCAGGAGCCCAAATAACACCTGCTCTCAGGCTTATGAACAAATCCCAGGCCCTTCTCACCTGTTCCTGGGAATGAATCTGAAATCCCCGGTCATTGACACCAGGAAGGCAAATAAAGTCATTTGACAAATAAAGCCATTTCCTGGGCTCCTGTGCCCTGTTAGGCTGCTGGCACAGGGCATGGCAGGCTTTGGTGCCAGACAGTCCTGTCTCCCTGCCCGAACTCAGTACCTGTGGGCCTGTGACCCTGGACCCTACAGCACCTAAAGAACCTTAGGTCACGTGATTGTTGTGACAAAAGCCTTTGGAAGGCTGTTATAAGATTAGAGAAAAGGCTTTACCTTTGTTCTCTGTTTCCACAGCCCTCTTCCCCTAATCTTGCCATTCAGATCTCAGTTTAAATGTCACCTCCTCAGGGAGGCCCTCCCTGACCACTCAGTCTAAAGCAGGGATTGGAAACTTTTTTTGTAAAGAGCTGGACAGTAAATGTTTTAGTCTGATCTCCATCCCAACAACTCCGTTCTGTCTGACAGTGGGAAAGACACTATAAATGATTTAAATGGGCGTGGCTGTGCTCCAAGAAAACTTGATGGATATTGAAACTGGAATTTCTTATCATTTTCACATGTCATGAAAGATTCTTTTGATTTTTTTCAACTGTTTAAGAATGGGGAAACCATTCTTAGCTAGAGGCTGTATAAAAGAAGCTGGCAGGCTGGATTGGCCCACCATGGGCGGCCAACCCTTAGTCTAATCTTAAAACAAGTATTTCTGGGGTATTTATCATTATCAGGCATTTTCCCCCTTCTTCCCTCCATCCTTCCCTTCTCTCCTTCTTCACTAAGTTTATCATCCATTCTCCCCTCCAGGATGCAAGTCCCTGAAAGTAGATGGTTGTCACACTCCTGTCTTTTTTCTGTTCTTTGTCTCTTTTAATGTTTCTTGAATATTTATTCTGTACCAGGCGTTGTTTCAAGGACATGATGCTCTGTAATTTATTTAACGCCTATAAAAACCCTATGAGTTACTCTGATTAGCCCAATTTTACAGATGTGGAATCTCGATGTCTTCTTCATTACTCTTTTCCCCAGAGCTTAGAAAATGCTGAAGCCGTCTGCAAAACAGGGGCACCAAAAAAAACTTGTTAATGACTTTGATATGTCAAAGTGGTTACCGTGTATACCAGTCAGGGTTTAACCGGAGAAGCAGACCCAGCAGGAGAAATACGTTAAGAGATTTATTGTAAAAAAGTGGCCTAAAACAACACGAATTGTTTATTATCTTAGAGTTCTGCTATAGGTTAGAAGTGTTGTGGGTGTAAAATCCAGATGTCAGCAGGGCTGCCTGTGTTCCTCCTGGAAGCTCGAGGAAAGAATGTCTTTTCTTGCCTCTTCCAGCTTGTAGAGGCGCCCACATTCCATGGCTTGTGGTCCCATCTTCTCTCTTCAAAGCCAACAATGGCATCACTTCAACCTCTGCTTTGGTCATCCCATCTTCCCTGACTCTGACTTTCCTGCCTTCTTCTTTCCTTTATAAGGAGACTTGTGACCACATTGAGCCCATCCGATGTTCTGAATGACCTCCCCATCTCAAGGTCAACTGAGATTCTCCCTTGTCATGTAATAGAACATATTCACAGGGTTCAGGGGTTAGCATGTAGACATCTTTGGGGGGCCATTTCTCTGCCTACTGCCCTGTGGGGAAAATAAGTTCTGTGTTGGCCTTCCTGTCATTGAGTTTTACCATTTAGTATTCTTTCATATGGATTTACACATGGGGAAGAGTTGGGTATAATTTTTAATGTGTATAAATTTTAATGTTTTAATTTGGTCCTGGCCACTTAGCAGGTAATAGGCACTAAAATTACTGGGCAGAAATGAAAGATCTGAGCTTGTTGAATTCAGTGGAGTCAGGTGCAAAAGATACGTCTGAGAGAATTTGCGAAAAAAATACAGATTCCAGCCCTGACTAGTGTGGCTCAGTTGGTTGAATGTCATCCCACAAAGCAAAATGTCACCAGTTTGATTTTTGGTCAGGGCACGTGCCTGGGTTGTGGGTTTGGTCCCTGGTTGGGACACGTGAGAGGCAGCCAATTGATGATTTCTCTCTCACATAGATGTCTCTCTCCCTCTCATTCTCCATCCTTCCTCCTCCCTCTAAAAATAAATAAAATATTTGAAAAACAAACAAACAAACACAGCATCTTTGTAAAAAATACAGATTCCAGTCCTGTCAGAGATCTACTGGATCTCCAGTTGTGGGGCCTGGGAATCTGAAGTTTGGGGGCTTTCCAGTTCCATAGCAGACTCTGTTGGTGACTGCTCATAACCCCTCAGAGGGTCCTGCTGCTGACTCAGTGCTTCCGGTCAGCACAAGACAAGCCAGCTGCGTTGGGTGTTGATGGTCCCAGAACAGGCCTCAGCCAGTAACTGACGGAAGTTGAAGGACCTTGGATGGAGCAGCTCTGAGGTGCATGTTCTAAACAGTTGCCCAGAGTTCCAGCTGCCCATAAGAGTGACCCCCTTGACACCACATATGTATAGGAAACAGAAACCCAGCTCAAGACAGAAGCAACTGGAATTCCCAGATGGTGGTAAAGGGGGATCCCAGAATGATGGCTGCGTACCAGAGGGGGTACCCAGTGAAGATTCCAGCAGGTCTGAGGGCCCCAGGGGGATCTCTCCAAAAAGGTAAGTAAGTACCATTTCTGACACTGGAAGGTGTTTGCCACTGGACCATTGGCAAAATGTTTGAAGTTGAACTGGAAACAAATACTGAGAAAATTAGGTCTGCTAGGGGTGGGGGAGGAGAATAAGACAATGATTAACTCAAGGAAAATTATAAAGCTGTGCAGGAAAGCAAAGGACATCGTAGTTTACCACACAGCTCAGCTGTGAATGACATTTACATAGTGACAATTCTGTAAATAATAAATATTGATCTTACCAAAATTACAACCATCTTGAGAGGGTGGGGCAGGTGGGAAGGGCGTGTGCGATGCTGGGGCCCAGTGTAGAGGGGGAAAGGGAGCAGAACCCTCACACCCTACAGCGGGGGAGAAGATTATCCCGAAAACTGGGAGATTCAGAAGTGCAAATAGAAGCCTGTTACTGAGGGAAATGGAGTTAATGTCAAACAACCAGTTCAAAGAGGTCAAAGTGGGTGTCTCTGGGAAGGGGGAAGTGGGAGGAGGGAATGAAGTGGAGATTTCTGTTTTTAGAAAATCTGACTCACCAAGTTATTTGCCTCTATAACCTTGATACAAATAAAACCGATAACCCAAAAAATAAATACATAAAGAAGGGCAGGAAAATATATATTCAAATGTTGTTTTGATGATGGTTGTCTCTGAATTGTGGATCATGGGTGTTCTTTTTTCTTTTCTTGTTATTGAAATTGTTTCTTTCCTGAAAATGATATGAAGCAAGAAAAGAGGAAAAATAGGATGTTTTTTAAAGGGGAAGAGAAAAAAGGTATGCTCAGGGCCAGCCTGGAAATGAGCGTTTCTGTCTGTCGCCAGGTCTCGAGGTGGGGACGGTGGGAAGAATACAAAGATGAAGGGTGGAGGGCAGGGAGGAAGAGTTGACGGAGCTTGGTGACTCATGGAATAGGGAGGTGAGGTGGCATCCAAGATGAAGATATCCAATAACCGTGGCCTCCACTTCCTGTTTTTGAATGTGACAAGCTGGCATATTTCTAGTTTTTGACAGTTGACCAGCAGTTACTGGGTGTTCCCCATGACAGGCAATGTGCCAAAGGGCTCTGCTTATGTTTTCTGCTGCTTCTACTCTTACTTGCTGTTTAAGCGTTCACTGATCCTGTTCTTCCCATGCTCAAAAGCATCCCAAGGCGCCCCTTCTAATCGTGAACAAAACCCAAACTCTTCTGAGTACTCTGCAGGCCTACTTCCATCTTCTTTCTGCCCTGCAGGGGTCTCTCACCTTCTCGGGTACCTTTCCTACCACAGCCCAACTCACTGGGCTCCAGGCTCTGCTCCCTTAACCTCCGTGAATGTGGCGAGCTTGCCCCTACCTCAGGGCCTTGGGTGTTTCACAGGTTGGTTAGTCAATAGTCGCATTGAACAAATCCTTATGTGGATCTGTGAGTGCTTAAAAGTCGTAGGTGTGAGCATTTCACTCTTGATCTCCCAGCACGTCCCTTGGACAGTAAATAGACGTCACGTCCAGGCAGGCACCGTGCACCAGGCTAGATGAGGAAAAGACTAAGCACACTGACATCGGTATTTGGGTGTGTCTTTTGTTTTGTGTAATAAGTTCTTCCTGGACACCTACCTAGAGAGACCTTTGCAGGCCTATCCTGTGAAAATACAAAGGAAGCCACACGTCATTTCAAATGTTCATTTTAAAGGAAGCGCTTTATGGCTTCTCGTCGGCCTGTCCAAGTCACCAGCATTATCCCTCTCGCTGAGCCCTTTTATTGATTCTCCTGGGTCAGAGATACCAGCTGTGGTGGACACTATCCGTTTTCTTACCTCATTTGCTGACCAAAAGGGAAGTTCCCCTGTCTTTTCAAGTAGGGGAAAATTACAAAAATTTTAAATGAACGCATGAAAAATAATCGCTCTCATGTACGGATTTCATCCTAGGAAAGGGCCCGTGCTCTGCCTTGGCAACATGGTGTGGTGGTTAAGGCCATGGGCCTTGGAGCCAAATTCCCTGTGTCTGAATTCCAGCTTAGCTACCTATGGCTGTGTGACCTTGGCTACGCCACTTCGCCTCTCTCTGTCTCGGTATCTCCATCTGTAAAATGGGGTTAATAATATAACGCATCACACAGAACTGTTGTTAGGATAAAATGAATTCAATAGAGAGCAACTATCATATGTAAGGACTCAGTAAACCTTAGCTAGTACTGTTGAATTAAAAAATAGAACAAATATGCTTCAGTGTTTAAATAAGTGCCTATGCAGTAATAAAAAAATCTATGAGATAATTTATAAAATGCTCTAAAATTATGATTGCTTTTCTGTACTGTCTGATTTTTTATAATTATAAGCTAATATTACTTTTGTAATTAGAAAAAAATTTAAGTTAATTCCATTTGGGGTTGGGAGCTTAATAAATAACTCTGTCCTCGATAAATTGTTTGCCTGTCCTCACCTTCATGTGTTTAAGGACTGTTTTTGCCTGGGGAATTCTTGCCAAAACACAAAGCCACCTGTGTTTGCTCAAATCCTCTCCTTGTGAATCAGGGTGAGCCTGTGAAGCGCCCGGTGGGTCCCCCTACTCTGTGTTGCAGGAAAGGAGATAGGGACCCACCCACCCCTGGTTCTTTTGGCTGTTCATTTCACCTGCAGTCATTCAACAAGGTTTGGGAAACAAACATGGCCCATCCAACCAGTAGAATTCTATGCATCCATCTCGAAGATAGAGGCAGATTCATATCTATTACACTGGAAAGACGTTTATAATTTTTTTTTAAGATTTTATTTACTTATTTTTAGAGAAAAGAGAAGGGAGGGAGAAAGAGAGAGAGAGAAACATGGATGTGCGAAAGATACATGGATTGGTTGTCTCTTGCACACTCCCAGCTGGGGACCTGGCCCAAAACCCAGGCATGTGCCCTGACTGGGAATTGAACCAGTGACCTTTCTGTTTGCAGGCCGGCAATCAATCCATTGAGCTACACCTGCCAGAGCAAAAAAAAAAAAGGTGTTGAATTCTAAAAATAAGTATTACCATGGAAAGACGTTTGTGATCATACCGCTCAGTAAAAACAAACTAACTACATTTATTCTAAACATAAGTATTGAATACTTAACCGTTCTGTTCAAGGCCCTGGGGACACAGCAGTGATAAACAGAGAAAAGCCCCTAACCGTGGAGAGCTGACATTCCGGAAGAAGAGACAGACAGTATACAAGAAAACAAAGTAAGTTAATTCAGACAGTGAAAAATACTACAATACAAGAGATGGGATGGAGGCAGAGCTACATAGCTGGGGTGGTATTTGAGGATGTACAGTATGATCCCAGTTTTGTAAAAATATTCCTCTGTGTGTGTGTGTCCGTTTATCATAAGCAAGAGAAAAAGGAATCCTCACCAGACTGTTTGCACTTTGACTCCAGATACTTCTGGAGTTCTCTTCTATGCATGGGTCTGGGCAAAATTCTTGGCTAAGCAAAGTCCTGCCCTCAGAGGACTATGTCCTTCTCTGATTTCCCCCTCGGTCAGGTTAGGCTGGACTCTGAACTCATCAATGCAAGCAACAGAAACTCAAAGTAGTCTAATGGAAAATTGGGTCATGTAAGGAAAAGTCTAGTGGTAGAACTGGTTCAGGCATGGCTAGATCCAGGGGCTCAACAGTGTCAATAAGGGGCTCTGCCCCTCTTCCTCTCCCATTTCTGCTTTCCCTTCTACTGGCCTCACTCTCAGGCAGGCTCTTCCCATGTGATGACCAGGATGGTTTCCAGCAGCTCCCAGATTGTGGTCCTTCCAGCTCAGCAATCCTAAAGAGAAGAGAAAAAAGAGAGAAGAGAACCCCCTTTCCCTAGGAAGACCAGTAAAGTTCTAGAGCCTCCAGTCATTGGTCCAGTTTGAATCACATGTTTACCCTGAACCAATCAAATTGGCCTGAGGGATGTGGACATTCAGGTGAAGATAATGCATTCACTCCTGGAGCCAGGAGGGAGAGTCTCCCTCCCTTGAACCACATCTACTGAGGAGGGGGAGAGGCCATTCACTACTAGAAGGCTAAAAAAAGAGAAAAGGTGTGATCAGCACAGGTTAAACATTAACTATTTGTCACACGTTAATGATGCTGGATAGGGACACTTATTTCCATTTTACAGAGTCGAATTGAAGGTCAGCAACTTTTGAAAGGCCGGAGAGCCAATAAGTGGAGAAATTGTTCACTGAAGTCTGTCTGATGCTAAAACCCCTAAGTGATGATGATGATGGTGGTGGTGATTATAGTAATAAGAACTACTATTTATTGAGTACCTACCGAGTGCTAAGCTTTGTAAGCAAGATCTCACTTCATTCTCCCTGCACCTTTGGGCAGGTGCAGTGGACAGCACAGTTGACTCCTTGACATCCATTCCAACCCAGGCCTGGGACCCAGTTAGTCTAAGCCGATCATAGGAATTACATCCCCTTGCCAGAGATTGGTTCAGGAATGGGCGTGTGACCCAAATTTAGCCAATGAGAAGTGAAGAGACTTGCCAGGATAGTTCTTCCTCACTCTTCCAGGAGAGGGTCTGGAAATGCCCCTTTTTGCCTACTGGACATGAAAGAGGATGCCTGTAGCCCTGATTGCTCTTGACAGTGATCCTTTGTGAACGAGGAGAACTAGCCTTGGGATGAAGTCAACACTGGACAGCAGAACAGGGATGGAAAGAACCTGGGGCCTTGATGATGTCACAAATCTGGCAGCTCCACCACTGCCCCGAGGGGAGGCAGGCTAGCCCATTCTAGTTAAGCCAGTTTGGGTCTTATTAGCTACTGCTTTTTTAGCAAAAGGCATTCTAGTGGACTCAGTATGGATTTTTTAAATCTCTATTTCACAGATAAGGAAACTGAGGCTCAGAGAGGTGAAGTGAGTTGCGTAAAACCACACAGTGAGCAGGGCTTATCTGATTACAAACTCATCGAATAGTACAGTTCCCACACAGTAATAAACCTTCCTCTGCTAGATGCTTTTTAAGCACAGGGAAGTTGAATCTTTATAACTACCCTGCAGAGTAAGTGCTTTTATCCTTTTTGTAGGTCACAAACATCCATAGGGGAAGGGAGGCTGTTTAGCAGAGAGACTTTGGAATCTGGGGATTGCTTACAGGCTCACAGTTCATACATAGTGAAGGACAGACAATGGGCAGGTGGCAGCGGGTGGGGTGGGGAGTGCGGAATTCTTGGGGGTCACAAAAAGCCAGGATCTCATTTGAGTCCCGCTGAAGGGTTGAGCCAGGAAGACTGGCAGAAAGAGCCCCAGAAACTTACTGCTCCTCTCTCAGGACTTACTTCTAATTCATTGTAAATTTGAGCAAGAAAAAAAAAATCCACGTAGGGACTACAGCACCATTTTAGAAAAAAAGTTGGAAATATAGACGTGTAATAAGAAAACATAACTCAGAAACATTACCAATACTTCAGCTGTCTAATCATTGGCCATTATGCTCCATATTTTCCTATAAAGAAAATAGTTGGGAAATAGGTGGCATGTGAGCTGAGGCCTGAAGGGTGAGAGGGAGCCCTCATGGGAAGAGAGTTCCAGGCAGAGGGAACAGCGCATGCAAAGACCCTGAGGTGGGGGTGAAGGTGGCTGAGTGAAGGCACGGGAGAATGGCCAGTGGGGTTCATGAGAAACAAGGGAGTGGGGGTCGAAGGAGATGAGGTGAGGGAGACAGAGTCTAGTCAGATCATAGAGGAGGAAATGGGCTTGAGGCCAGGGAGCTGCCCGTGTGCCCGGCACCCAGGCGACGGACCAGTAATATAAGCAGGTTTATTAATGAGCATCAGGCTTGGGGAGCAAGACAGGGTGAGCGACACCGCCAGTCCAGCCCAGTATATTTTCACCAAACACCCGCCCTATGCCAGGCCCGGCTCAGCGTTCTAGCTTTCAGGGCATTTGCTTTGAAGATCAGAAATTCAGGGGCAGCCATGGCTCTAAAGAGGCATTTTTCCAAAAATGACATATGACTGGCCAATAAATAGATGGAAAGAGCCTCAACGTCTCTCCAAAGCAGGCAATTCAAGTTCAAACACTTAAGAGACGTTTCACAGCCGTGGACTGACAGCAATTTGAAAATCAGAAAACACTGAAGTGTAGAAGACTGGTTAATAAATAGCTCAGGCTCCGGAAGCGGCCTCTCTGAGCTCATACCATGATACCATGCTCTGCCATTCAGAGTGATTTGAGGCTGGTTACTTCCCCTCTGTGGCCTCCATGTCTCTCTCTCTGTCAAAGGAGAATGAGTTGTCTTTACCTCCAAGTTTCTCGGAGGGTTGGTACCACGAGTTAGTTCACGTTAAACTTTGTGAAAGTACCTGGTACATAGTGAATGTTGATGTGAGGGTGGTGGTGTCGGTGGTGAGGATGTGGGGAGCGGGGAGTCCCTCGCACACGCTGCCGTTTGCCTGCTGAAACGCACTTGTCCTGCGGCCAGCAGCCCGCTTCCTCTCCTGCGCCCCGGAGAAGCGCTGGCCTGTGCCTGTACGGGTGCAGTAGCTCCGCCCACAGCGGGCCTGCAGGGAAATCGGTGGGAGAGGCATCGGTAAGTGAGTGGGTAAGTAAACTGTGGCATATTCCCTGAAAGGAATACCAGTGGGCAGTAAACATGAGTAAACTAGATCTAAATAGGTCTTAAAAGTATAATGTTGAGTGAAAAGAGAAAGTTTCAGAAGTAAACTCTTAGTGCGATACCATTTATGTAAATATTAATGCCATAAGGCAATGTTTGTGTGTGTGTGTGTATATATATATACACACAAATATATATACACAGTATATATATACACTAATATATATATATATATATATACACACACACACACATATATATATATATATATATAGTAAGCTCCTAATCAGCCCCTGAACAGTGGGCCTTTGGAAAAGAGGAACTTTTATGACTTTATCATTGTTGTGGCCCTGTACCGGGCTCTGCAGACTGACCTATCCTCTCCCAATCCCCTCTAATATGGCTTCCTGCACTGTAAAGGCTAGAAAGTGAAAACTAAACCCATCTCCCAGACTCCTTTGCAGCAGGAGTGACTCATGTGGCCCAGGTTCCCCTGGCGAGCCTTCAAGGCAAAAACAAGTTGTGGGATGCCAAGTGATGGTGCCTGCTGGCCAGCACAGTAGTGGAGTGTCTGGTCCTTCTGGGGAGTACCCTAAGTGCTGGGCAGCGGCGGCAGCAACAGCAGTGACGTTTCTGTTGGAACAGTTCAACAGTGAAGGTGGATATTTCTCTTGGCTTTGATACTCCTGCCTACACTGTTGTAGTTTAGCATCTGGGATACTACCTAATACCTTTTTAAAAAACCCTTCTGATTAAGGTGGTCTAGCTGATTTTACTGTCTGCAATTTAGATTGCTTGCCCAAGCCCTCAATAAATATCTGTTGAATGACTGACTGAATGAATAAATGGTGACCTTTTAGGAACCTTCCTGTTCCCACTGCTTTTATCCCCAAAGAGTAACACCGCAGGCCCTGGGTGAGCACTGTTCTTGTAAAGGTCAGGGACAGGAAGACGATGTGAAATGTCTTATCACTGGCAGGACAGAACAGAGTCCTTGAGGAGGGAACGGAGTCCAAGGAGGGGACTGAGGCTAACTCCCTGGGTGGGCAGGGGAGCTGGCCGGAGCCTTGGACTGAATGGGTTAGGGGGAAAATTGATATACGAGAAAGAGGGTGCAGGCAGGGTGGATTCCTGAGTCGTCCCAGGGCCAGCCAGGGGCAGGAGGGGAGCAGTCCTCTTATTAGGACCCTTTCTGCTGTGCTTACCGGTAGGTTGGTGCAGGGCACTGCTTACCAGCTGAAAAGTAGGTTGGAGAAAATAACAACTATGAGGCAAATATTTTCAAAGAATGCTTGCCAGGAAGCACTGGTGGGGGAATCTGGAAGTGAGACAGGGTGGGGAAAAAAGCCAATAAAAGGTGAGTTACTAAGCAGGTTATCACTCTGGGCAACTGAGGCTCAATCCCACCCTGGAACTCCAGGGCGCAGAAGAAAACACACCTCAGAACTGTCCACCCAAAGGGCAAGGGAGTAGGGGGTGTTTATCCCCCAGCTCCTGGCAGTCACTAGTTAAGGTTCTGTTCCTACAAAGGCTGAACTTATAGAGATGGAGGAATCTCAAGGTGGAAGATGCCCTGGGCACCTACCCTGGACAGCCACATGCCATCCGAGCTCCTCCGTTACCACAGAGACATCCTTGTCCACGTGGTCCAGGGTGGCTCCCCAACACCACGTCTTATTTCAGCCAGCAGGAAGGGAATGGCGAAAGGAAGGGCACTGTCCCTTCCTTGTGAAGGGCAGGACCCTGAAGTGGCACCTGTGGATGTGTGGGGGCAGAGCTTTTCATTGCCTGTAACTGAATCATACGCCTCCAGCCGACTGCAGTGAAGCCTAGGGTAGGCGGTAAAGCCACGGGAAGCCGTGTCCAGCTAAGCGCTGCAAAAGATAACAACTATTGCTGTTGTTGCCTCTTCTTTGAAAAGCCTTGTAAGTATATTTAGAAGATGCGCATAAATGCTGGGTACAGATGCCACCCTGCACCAGACTTTGGAATCAACACAGTTAGGTTTAAATCTTTATTTTCATGCCTTCTGAGGCTGTGTCACTTTGGATAAATGACTTAACCTCTCGGAGTCATCTGTCAAGCAGGGATAAAGGTATATTACTGAGGCAAGGACTAGGAAAATCAAATAAGACAATGAGCATGAAGCTCAAGCACAATGTCCAGCCCAAAGAAATTCTTAATAAATGGTCATTTTATTGATTAAAAAAATGTGTGTGGTGGGTAAGAACATGAGCTCAGAGATTAGACAGACCTGGGGTCAAATATAGAATCTTCTACTTTCTAGCCAGGCAAATAAATGGTTTAACCTCTCTGCGCTTCTGTCCCCTCATCTGTGAAATGGGAGCAGTAGCAGTCCGAGACTGCTAAGTGGTTTTGAGATTCCGAGCCATGGCCGACACCCTGAAAGCAGGCAGGAGAAGTGAGTTATTATTAGGTTCCTGTTCCCACCGTGAGCTTGTGGGGGATGAGGCAGGGTCAAAGGCTGTTGCTACAAACATGATGTCGTACAAAGGAGTCGTACATGAGAGAAGTAGTGCTGTGAGATGTGGTTACACAAAGTTCAAGAACAGGAAAATGGCATTGGTGCTGGGGATCTGGGTAATGGTGACCCCTGTGGGGGGTCGTAGAGACTGGAAGGGGGCAGCCAGGTGATTGGTATCATTCTGGGGGCTGGTTACCCTAGTGTGCCGTCTTTGTGAACATCTATGGAGCTGTCATTTATGTGTGCGCTTTTCCATATGTATGTTACACTTCAAGAGAAAGTTTCCTCCCCAAAGTATCTGTGGTTTATTTGGAAGCCAGCAGTGGCCGAGGGACCGGAGCACACAAATCGGGGGTGTTTTCCCTTGCCAGCCACCACAGTTTCTGTTTCAGCTCAGGGTGCAGCACCAGCTTCCCCTCCAAATACTCCACTTGTTGCTCACAGAATTCCCCTTTCCTCTTTGAGGCAGCCTGATAACACATCCGGTCCAGTGCGGTGCCGGGCAGCCTGACTGCCTGTACAATCAGTTCCTGGATGGGAAGTATCAATAAGTCACCGTAAACAGCAGCCTCATATGATTGATGTCACAAGTAGAGTTGGTGCTGTTCATTCTTGATTTCATTAATGCAAACACTTTTTGGTTTTCAAACACTCACTAGGTAAGTAGCTCCAGATGAAAATCGTGCCCGGTTCAAAGATGCTTCATTCATTCATTCACTAAATAGTCATTGGGCCCCGACCAGGCACTGTGCTGGGTACTGGAGATGCCTCTGTGCAGAAACCAGACGTGGTCCCTGCTCTGCAGGAGCTGACTTATTCATGGAGGCAGATGGACGAGAAATAAACAGGTGAATGCACGGTGTGTTAGATGGTGACGAGTGCCATGGAGAAACATTAAGCAGAGGTGGCGATATGCAGTATAAGACATGTCTGGAGCTTGCAATTTTCACAGAGTGTTCAGGGAATGCCTCCATGAGAAGGTGCCATTTAAGCAGAGACTTGAATAAGAAGAGGGAGGGGGCCCTGTGAGGACATGAGGAAAGAACAATCCAGCCAGGGAAGAGTGGGGAGTTGAGGTCAGAGAAGTTGCAGGGAACCAGTTCTCTGCAACGTCCCTGGCATAAAAGACAAAGGCGAGGAATCCTTCCAGGTTAAAGGAAACTAGAGAGACATAATAACTACATGCAAAACATGGCCTTGAACTGGAGCCTGTACTAGAGGGGGAAAGTGCTGTAAAGGACATTGTTGCAACGATTGCTAAGCTAGAAAAATGGATGGTATTGTATCAAGGTGAGTTTCCTGTATTTGGTAACTGGAGTGTAGTTACATAGAATAATATCCTGTTCTTAGGAAATACGTAGTGTTGAAATGTGTAGGGGCAAATGAGGCACGATGTGTGCAGTCTATTCTCAAATGTTGCAGCAAATAAATAGTAATAAGAATGAATAAGTAAATATATTCACATGAACAAAGAGAGGGTGGTAAAACAAACATGGTAAAATATTAAACACCGGTGAATTTGGGTCAAAGGTATATTGGAATTCTTGAATTATTTTTGCAACGTTTCTATGCATTTAAAACGATCTTGCTCCACACAGCAGGTTCTCCATATTAGCATTTAAAACCATTTTGCATCCTGTAACTGTGGTTGCTTCTGGGGTGGGGAAGTGGGTGAGGAAAGAAATGGAGGAAGAGAAACTCACCTTTCGCCTTTTTTGGAAGTACGACCTAGACAAGTAAATAAGTACAAAGCGAAAAAAAATAACAGAAGTTCACGTATTAGACACACATTCTAGGCACTGTGTGAAGCCACTTAACGCATTTGAGAAAATTCTTATTTATTTCTCTCAAGTATTCCCATTGCATGGAGGAAGAAACTGAGGCTCAGAGAAGGGAAGTGATTTGCCCACGGCAGAGCCAGAACCAGGAACATTAATCCAAATCAGTATCTTTTCAGAGACTTCAAAATCAGTTGGGTGGGATCTTTGCCTTTAAGGAGACAAGATTTCTCAAAACTATCTTCATTATTTAAAAGGGGAACCCCATTAAGCTCTTAGCTATGCAGGTGTGGGTTGTCCATTATAAACATTAATCTCGGGCGTAGCTATTTGACCAATTAGTCATCCAACAGATGTTTACTGAAAAGCCTTACTGGGCCTGAGGCAGATTTACTGGTACTGGGAGGGTTAGGGGTTCTGGAGTGTCCCGGGGCAGCTGAGGGTCAGCCAGGGTACAACCGGGAAGCATTTCTCGGTAAATTGTCTAGAAAGAGCTCAGAAGAAGGGGCTCTGACTCTCCAAGTGTCCAGTCATTTGAGATGAATTGTTATTTGCCTTGTCAGTGAACACCCCCTTCCTTCCTATTTCATATTTATACTTTTGCACTTTTTTTCTAAAACTTCATGAACTTCAGAGCCCACGGCCGCTAAGAGGCAAAGAGGGAGCTCCAAGCCCGATGAGGCTGAGCACTCACAACACAGGAT